CTCTCTCTCTCTCTCTCTCTCTCTCTCTCTCTCTCTCTCTCTCTCTCTCTCTCTCTCTCTCTCTCTCTCTCTCTCTCTCTCTCTCTCTCTCTCTCTCTCTCTCTCTCTCTCTCTCTCTCTCTCTCTCTCTCTCTCTCTCTCTCTCTCTCTCTCTCTCTCTCTCTCTCTCTCTCTCTCTCTCTCTCTCTCTCTCTCTCTCTCTCTCTCTCTCTCTCTCTCTCTCTCTCTCTCTCTCTCTCTCTCTCTCTCTCTCTCTCTCTCTCTCTCTCTCTCTCTCTCTCTCTCTCTCTCTCTCTCTCTCTCTCTCTCTCTCTCTCTCTCTCTCTCTCTCTCTCTCTCTCTCTCTCTCTCTCTCTCTCTCTCTCTCTCTCTCTCTCTCTCTCTCTCTCTCTCTCTCTCTCTCTCTCTCTCTCTCTCTCTCTCTCTCTCTCTCTCTCTCTCTCTCTCTCTCTCTCTCTCTCTCTCTCTCTCTCTCTCTCTCTCTCTCTCTCTCTCTCTCTCTCTCTCTCTCTCTCTCTCTCTCTCTCTCTCTCTCTCTCTCTCTCTCTCTCTCTCTCTCTCTCTCTCTCTCTCTCTCTCTCTCTCTCTCTCTCTCTCTCTCTCTCTCTCTCTCTCTCTCTCTCTCTCTCTCTCTCTCTCTCTCTCTCTCTCTCTCTCTCTCTCTCTCTCTCTCTCTCTCTCTCTCTCTCTCACACACACACACACACACACTCACACTCACACTCACACTCACGGTCTCTCTCTCTCTCTCTCACACACACACTCTCTCACAGACACACATTCTCTCTCACACACACACACCTTCTGCAGCTCCTCTATCGTCCGCGGCAGCGTGATCAGATCAGAGGAGGATTTGATGTTGGTCTTCAGGTGATTCACAGCAGAATCCAGAGTGCTGAGCTGCAGAGACATGAACACCATCACACTGATACTGACACATGAGTGCTGTTCTCAGATCTTCATGTGTTTCACTGCTAAACCACTCTGAGAGGAGCGTGTAGCTCATCACACACACACGAGCTCAGTACCTTCTGATTGATCTCGCTCAGGTTGGACCAGAGTTTGGCCAGGCCTCTGTCTCCGCTCTCCAGCTCGTCCAGCTTCATCTGTTTGTCCTTCAGATCTTCACTGAGCTTCAGGATCTCGTGTGATGAGAGCTTCTGACTGCTCTCCACTGTCAAACACCAACCAGACCATCACAACCATTAATGCTCAGGCGTCTCTAAACTCAACATGAAACACTGTTCACATCTGTGATGCAACACAGTCCATAAAAACAGGATAATTCAACTGATCGGCTGGTGAAGTGTGTCTATATGAAGAGAGTGATGGCAGAAGAAGTGGAGATAACTATCATACAGACTAATGTGTCTTTCTTTGTAATAACATGACTGATGAATCGTTAGAGCAGGATCATTAGCTGCAGTAAATCATAGGGATGCACCGAATGTTCGGCAACCGAAATTATTCAGCCACAAATAGCAAAAAAAATTTTGGCTGAATAAGAGAAGAGACTGAATAAATTGTACTGAACAATGACGTGACACGATCAAATAGAGTTTGCAGACACGTCGCAGTGTGAAAGCACTGAGGTCTTTCTGCGGCTTTCTGCCAAAATAACAGCTCCATCAACATTCATAAACGCTATTGTAATTTTTCTGTTGTTCTGTAAAATAAAATAAAAAAGCATAATAATAATAATTACAACAGCTCTATTAATACATTCACACATAGTGTTCCAATTGGGATCTGTAATATTTTCTAATGTTTTAAACGACGTCTCTTCTGCTCAGCGAGGCTGCATTTATTGCACAGTAAAACATACATGCCTGATTCAAGAAAATTACCAAAACAATATCACTTTAGTAACTTCAGTTAAATTGTGCTTTGTTTGGTATAATGTTAAAAAATGTTCAGTGTTAAATAAATATTTCTAAATTGTTATTTTGTAATTGATTTTTTCTTTAAAAAGCAAGACAAAACTGTAAAAATCACATTTTGGCTATTTAATTTATGCAATGGTGAAAAAAATTATCCAAATACATGGGGGAAAAAACACGGAAACCCGTGATCGTTATTCGGCCCAGTGCTTCATTTTGTTGGGAATGTTGGAATGTTGCTTTCGGTGCATCCCTAGTAAACCAGCTTGATCTGATGTTGCCTTGAGCAGCAGCGGTGCACGTACTGATGTGGATCTTCTCCTTCATGGAGTCCAGGTCCTCTTTGAGGGCGATCTGCATCCAGATGAGTCCAGCGCAGGCCATGACACACGCCGCCAGAAGCACGAACACACACAGCGGGTAACAGATCGAGCAGCACCGCAGCGAGCTCCTGCAGAACACAGACAAACACCATCTGATCTCTGAAGCTCGTCTGTCTCAGCGCTGAAGACCATCATCCTGCTCTCTCTCTCTCTCTCTCTCTCTCTCGCTGCTGCTCCACATGACTGTCACGACTAGAAACCCACTGCAAGGATCTGATCTTCTATGCAGATGTTTGGAGTTTATTACTAGCGAGGTATTTCAACTCAAATCATTATTTTGTGTCCAGTTATCTGTGTATGTAAAGTAGGTGTGTTCTGATCACCCTGTCCTGCTTTAGCTCTCGATAACATGCAGCCAGCCGGACTTCATGACCTGTTTCAGCGCTCAGAGACGCTTCTGTGCCAGTTTCCCTCTACTGTGTGTTACAGACCTGTGCACCGACATCTGAGACGATGACAGCGGGAAAGCTTTCCTTCTCTTCTTAAACTTAAAGCAACAAATCCAGTAGAAGAAACTGTGATCTTCGTCTTCTCGATCGCACAGACAGCTCATTCCTCACACTTTAATAGTATTTATAGCTGCAATAATAATAAAACAGGCCATGTGAGGAACGATTACCTCAGAGTGTAGATCAGTATGAAGCTAAATTAAACACACTGTAGTGCATTTACACCTGAAGTTACCAACCTGTGAAATGTCATTTCATTTTTAATGAGTCCTTCCCTGATGTGTCTATTCCTGAAGACACGATAATAACTGAACTGATCTGAGGAGCTTCATCTCGGCTCGTCTGGATGGAAGCTATTTTCTGACCATTTTAAATACATCAATTCAATTATAAAAATTAAAACCAGATTGAACAATTTCAAAAACAATTTTTCACTGCAATCCCGAGGCAAGACTGTCAAAATTTCATTTTCATAATTGAAGTGATTTAGTTAAAATTGGCAGAAAATACTTTCCATACTTTGCATCTCTCACTTTGTGTTTAGTAAAAGTTTAGATGACACTATTAGACACTATTCACTATTAACCAAGAGTTTTCCCTCCATAAACTCCTGATTACTGCTCGCTGACCGTCAGTAAGCTTGTAGTAGTTGTGTTTAGGTATGGGTCGGGTTCAGCAATCTAAAATATGATCATGCAGAATAAGACGTTAATATGTGCATAAGTACAAACAATATAATAAATAATAACAAACAGCCTATATGCTACTAATATGCATACTGATCAGCAAATACTTCACAGAGAGTTGTGTTCCCTCATCTAAAGCGTAACTGTGTGGTTTATAATGTTGTTCATGAGAAAATCCTCAAGATCTTCTGCACATTTGAGCTCTTCACAACAGTGACTGTACTGAGATCCAGCTTTCACAACCATTACAAACACTGCTAACATTCAGTGATGATCCAGAAGGAAACATGAAGAACCAGGAGAATGAATCGTGTCGGTTCAGATATCACTGAGGAATAGATGTTAATATCTGTCCATCTCTGCGAGGCAAACTTACGCACTCACTGTGAATATGATCTCTATAGCTCAGTGGCTTTGGTGCATTTCTCAGATCAGAAATGAAATTCATAAAACTACTTGTTTAACCTCCACATCAGCTAGTCACTTGTGCACATCATAAAAGCAGTTTCTCATTCTTTTGAACAAGTTGCGATTGCTTTGCTACATTCATGAAAATGATGATGTATATTTGTCTGTGGTTTCCTACATTATCAGTTGCTAATGTCATGTTGCTCAAAATGTATTAATTATAGTTCTCTGTTCTCTTAGCCCTCAAAACATCCAGTCTTTAGTTCGTCGTATAAGCAATTAAACACAAAATAGTCCATCTAGTTGTCATAAACTGTCAAACATATTTTCTACATATTTCTATCAGTCTTTCTGTAAATCTGTCATGAATTGTGGAGGTGAATCTTGGCTTTCACTAATGAAGAGAATGCAGATCAGCTAATGATAAACCAGCTCTCTAACTCCTCATACAGCGCTGTTACCTGCGTTAGTCTTTCTAATAATGTATTTTCACCTTTGTGCCCATATTTCTTTTTCGATCACAACGTTGTGATGTGTGTTTTCTGTTATTTTGTCAGACCACTAATAACAGTGTAACTGAATCCTATCCAGTCTCTTTCAATCAATATCCCACGTACAGTAATGTGTAAATGTGTACTGTTGAAACAGATATATGGCACACAGAAGAAGTGCATGTCAGTACAGTAACCGCATCCTAACTGTTTACATCAGGTGTTACTAACAGAGAGCACTGTTATACTGACAACATGACTGAGCGTGTCTGATCTTGTTTGTAAACAATGACACAAGGACTTTTAATTCTGATGGCACTGATATGTTCATTGACATAAATACTTAATTTTGAGAGATTCATGTTTATATTTAGTATGGATAGTTTTGGGAAATGCACACACTTCATTGCAGATATTAAGGATGATTGGAGAAATGCACCAAAGCGACTGAGCAAGACTGTATGATATATCCGAGCACACTCACGTCCCGAGCAGGCCGCGGCCGAAGCCCCGCTCCTCTGCGCCGGACTCGGCCTCGCTCTCGGTGCCGGTGTCGGTCCCGGTCCGCAGCAGCCGGTGTCCGCTGCTCTGCTTGCTCTTCCTGCGGCTGTCGCTGAGGCCGATGAGCGCGTTTAGCTCCTTCCGCTTCTTCATCTTCTTCTGCGGACTCATCGCCGAGCGGATCCGGTGTCGCTGCGGCGTGTTTACCGTCACACGAGCCGCTTCAGCTTCGGCGTCCGGTGCTCATCTGAGGGCGGGTTCTCCTGCGGTTCTCGAACGCGTCGCTGTTTAACACTCTTCAGGAGAAGCGAGCCGTGTTTAATCCAACATTAGCTTTAGCTTTAACTTTAGCTTCAGCTCGGTGTGAACCAGCTCCGGTCCATCATATTAAACCCTGTTCGCTAGTTTCACTGAACTCTTCTTGTCGCGTCTGAATCTGATGTCATGACACAAATATAAGGCAAAAACATATTTAACGTTACATCACACACATATTATCGCTAAAGAATCAAATCTGTCTGGTTCAGCACGAACATTTCATCCTCTTTCCGGTCCTGACAGGAAGCGCTCCTGATTGGAGGAACACAGTGTGACGCGTCGTTGGGCGGGTGGCGTCATCAGGCAGTGACGCGCTCGTGCTCCAGGCGGCGCTCCGTCCGCTTTCACTAAACATTTATCACAGTGCTGTTCCTATCATTACATTCACGAGTGAATATTGCTGCCACTGGCTGTATTTACTCATCTAAACACAGAATTTCAGATGTGTCTAATTTTGGCAGAAAACAGTTCCAAACCTTTAACGATCTATTTGATGTGACTGTGCTTTACTGTAGGGTTCTTTCACATGTTTTGTCACTGAGGCGGCCAGTATGATTTATCCTAGTATAACAAAAGGAAAAGTATTAAGACTTGAAACATTTTAAATAAAGATAATTGTTTTACCAAGTTCAAGACTGAGGATGATTCCCACTAAACTATTTTCTGCAAGTGCAAATTCACAGTTTATGTATACAGTGCAACATCAAAAACAGCGTGTAGCTAATATTGTTCCTGTCAGTGTGGAGGGCTCCGTCATGGAAAATACCACAAGAAACAGTCCTCTGCACGATCCCTATGGCCAGCAATGAACGTGTCAGGCTGGGACCACAAAGCTGTTTTATCATGCTTACAGTTAAACCAGTAATCAGCAGCCCCGCTGGACAGACTACAGCTCCGGACACACATGATGGCGTGATGTATCGAAGGTAAAAACCTCATCGGATTCGTCTGAAGTTCTAAACGCATCACTTGTTGAAGCTATTGAAAAGCTAACCTCCAAAAGTGACTGCTTCGGAGACCAAATGAGGCTACATCACCAGACTAGAGGAGCTGAATGCCACTGAGATTAAAGAGTGCAAAGTCAGGATACAAGCCACAGAAAAAGAAATGCCCCGTCTAGTAAAACAAAACAATGAGCTGAAAGAAAAGTCACGGAGTTAGAGCGTTACAAGAGACGCTGGAACCTTAAAATACATGGTGTAAAAGAAAAAGTTGACGAGAACCCGAGATGTTGTTGTGAGGATCCGGTCCAAATTAGCACCACAGAGGAACACTTTGATGGAATCGGTAGAGTTACAACCCTGGCTCTAGGAAAGCAACATCAAGGACACAAAACAAGTTTGCCAAATAAAATAAGGTTTATTAAATAACAAAAAGGGGAAAAAAAGAAGGGACTTACGAAAACAAGCCCAGCTACTGCCAAGCTGGCTGCAGGATCAGAGAGAGAGTGAGAGCATGTGTCCAGGGGCCTCATTTATAAAATGTGTACGCACAGATTTGATCTTAGAGTGTGCGTACGCTAAAATCCACAGCAACGTTCATATTTATAAGAATGGTCTTTGACGAGGAAAAGTACTTACCGTCACGTCAGGGTCTGAGCAGACCAAGCCGGAGTACTGCAGCTGTTTGAACATCTGAGCTGCAATAATAATAAAAGCACCGAATTCATCAGAAACAACAAAGATGCAGTGTAAGAGATTAACTGTGCAGTGTAGTCAGATTTTTTATTAACGGGAGGTTTTGGGAGATTAAACTGACCTTTTTAGTAGCCTGATGTTGAGAGTTCTTTACTCGCTTTCTGTAGTTTATTCCATGTTGTTTTTTTATTATTTTATTTTACAAGAGAACTTGCGAAGTCTTGATTTACTACTGTAAGGTCCACGCACTTGGCCCAAGGAAGGTATCCAGTGGTGGATGAAGGTTTCTTGCGTGTTCGGTCTTTTCAGCGTGCAGAGTTATTCAATTTAGGTTTAACTCAAATCTGACTCCATTTTATTATCTAATCTGACTCCATTTTAGTATGACCTCGAATTTAGGTTGAAAGGCAAATTGGTTGTTTGTCGGTCTCTAATTATTCTGACATTCGATTATTCTAGTTAACTCTTTACTTTATATCTACTCGTTCATTAGGAATCTATGTCGCTCAGGGTGCCTCATGGCGGCCGCTACGCGCGGGCCCCACGATCACAAAACTCGCCAGTTTGATCCTTATTCAGAGGTTTGTGGCTAATACTATTTAATATGCTTTAAATAGTAGGTCTGTTTAGCCCCCTACAGTTACCCATATAATGCTCAAACATTAATCAGCAGTTCTGCTAGACCCTCTGTCTCGCCCCCGATAGTTAATATAAATACGTACAACTTAATTAACACTCCAACATTAATCAGCGGTTCTGCTAGACCCTTAGTCTAGCCCCCGATAGTTAATATAACTACGTACAACTTAATTGAAGCTGAAATCATATACATGGTTAACGTAACTGAGTACAACTTAACTAGGTCAAGCAGTTAGTCAGAAACCTATAATCTCACCTGATGCGCCCCATGCTTCATCTAACCTGAGATCTAGTATGCACGTAACCCTGGTCGCAGATTTGCGGAAACATACGCCTTCACTTAATCTACTTGAGGAAATAATTTCAGAGTAAGTCAGAATAAATCAAATTAACTCTTAGGATCTGTATTATCTTTTAGTCTACTTTTGTAAGATTAAGACCATTGTACCACTCGCCCTGAGACTATTCAAATGATACCAAACATGACTGTAAATCTTATTTGCATTCATATAGAACATTATATTCTACCATTGACCATTCTGAGTGAGCTGGGTGAAGAGATGGGTGTGGGGAAGGAAATGAAAAGGAACTGATGCATATGTGAGAGAGGCGTTTCCTGCACCGCCACTCTATGGGGTTTCTCCAACATGCCCGTGTAAGTTTGTATTGTCTGTTTCTCAGGAGATCAAAGTATCTGAGTTTCGGAACTGATGCATATTTGCTGAGGTTCTGTAATTCTTACACTACTAATGCGTAAAATAGAAAACGCTTCTCCGACTGTTTTGTCTGTGTAGCCTATAAGATGTCGTGCAATAATTGCTTCCGTGAAAATGAATAGAGACATCAGCCTTAAACTTTGTCCTTGTCATTTACATCAGTTATATTTGTATAAAATACACTATATATTTTTGTGTCAGTACATTAAAAGCACATTTGAGCTGCTTTAGTAAACTGTAAATATAAAGAAATGCCAAATCACATGCAGGTTTTTTCAGACCGGAGACCATAAATGTGTAATCATTTATTATGATATGAAAATTTTCCAATTTTCCTTTCAATAATGTTTTTTAAAGTTTTGCAAGAATTTCGTGATACTAAACTTTTTATTAGTTGTCATGTGTGTATGTGCTGTACATGTGGAAGAATTGACAATAAAGCAGACTTGACTTGACTTGACTTGACTAAAAGTAGGATGGCTCACTTTTTATAAAATGACAAAATTTTACTTGAATTCGTAGTTTATTCTTACTTGAAACCTAATTGTTTTATAATTACTATTATTATTACTGTTGTTTCTAGAAGTAGTAATTTTGATAATATAAAAAAATATAACCACACACACATTGTTTGTCCACAGAATAATTACACATTATTAAATAAAAAGCGTCCAGCACGAATCTCTACCTCCGCTGTTACGGAGCTGACGAGACGTGCAGATCCATATGCAAGCTTTTTATTAAAAGACGTGGTCACAAACACAGGCAAGGTCGAAACACCAGCGAACAGGCATGGTATGGGCAAAACACAAGAGCAGTCCAGTAAACGGGCTTGGGTCGATCGACGGTGAACAACATCCAACAGGACAAGGCAAAGAGAGATAATCCAGGTACACAGCGATAATCCAGGCAGTGGCAAACAGAGTCCAAATGGCAAGACGAATGGGGTAATCCGAAATACACAGGCGAGAATCAAAACACGGGAAAAACAGGCAAGTCAAGACTGAATAAACTGGGAAAGATAGAGCAGGCTCTGTAAAGTAGCTATCAACTAAACAGTGATAAACGCTAAACAATACTCGGCAGTGAATGGTGGTGTGAGACTGATTTATATAGTGTATGTAATAGCTTTCAGGTGAGCGTGATAAAGCTCATTCTGATTCTGATTCTGATTCTGATGGCGAGCGGATGGATGTCCATTGACAGGATTCGTGACATCTGCCAGCAGGACCTCAATTTCACACTCAGTAAAGTTTTTTTTTTCGTTGTGCTCGTCATTCTCAAGCATAGAAAGTCTGATATTGGCGTGTGCTCTTTTATATGGTAATGATATCAATTAGGGGGCGTTTACAAGGCGGAGATCTGACACCAGTCAGCTGCGCACAATTTCAAGATCATTAGTGATTTATAAATATCACATCTGGAAGAGAGGCATACACACGTGTTTTTGTGCGCACGTTCGTTTTCTCTGAATCGCACTTACGCACTTTTGAGAAATGATCTTAGAACAAATTTAGAACGGTTTATACGCAACATTTTATAAATGAGGCCCCTGGAGTTTAAAATGGCTCCTTTCAGGTGACATCAATTAACCTGTTGATTGCAGGTGAGCTACTGAGTAACTGCAACAAAACACAAGTTAGAACACTCCCACATAACAGTAGCTGATACCGCTCACTGCATTGGAAGGAAAGAAGAGGGGAGAGACCGTCAGATTGTCATCCAGTTCACCATGAGATTCCACTGGGACTCCATCTAGAAACTGTCCAAAAACTCTAAGATCTACAAAGACTTGGGTATTCACTTCAACAAGACTTCTGCAAAGCTGCATGCCCGAAGATGGAACAAGCCAGGGCGACAGGACAGAACGTCTACTACAGAGGTAACAGGGTTTCATTACTTCAGTGGTAACAGGGTTACTCTGGATTAGACAGAGCTTTGGGCCAAAGCATGACGTGTACTTCTTACTCTTGCAGCACAGGTTTGAGTTGTGTACCTCAACCACGTTATGTTAATAGGTTCTCGTCTAACCGTAATAACCTTCTGACTTGTTTGCACTGTTGTAATTAAAAGGGAATGCTGTTAATTTAGTGAGATCGCAGCTGATAATCATATTGGTAAAAAAAGGGGGAAAAATTATTTTAATGTCAGTTTGTTAATTATATATAAATGCACTTCTTTTTTTCCTCTTCACGTTAATATTTTAAAATTCTATAATGTTCTAGAGGGGGAAAAAACTGTAAAATTTAAAAGAGGGGAAAAAAGTTAAAGTAAGCTACCAAAGTCTGTTCACTTTAGATTTTTAATTTATTGAAAAGAATGTTTGTTTTACAGTTACGTTGATTGTATTTAATAATGCAATCTTCGTGACTTGTAACCCGAAGGTCGCGGGTTCGAGTCTCAGGTCCGGCAGGGATTGTAGGTGAGGGGAGTGAATATCCAGCGCTCTGTGCATGACAGCACTACAAAAACCCAACAAAGTGAAATAATATTGCCTTATAAACTGGTCAGTTCCTACGTCTCAGAATGACCTGATGGCAGCTTGGATCTCCAAGGACCTCTCTACAGCTGAGTTTGTTCATTCATCATGACCCTCACGAAAAGTCATTGTGTCCCCCATACGATGGACTGTTTTGTGTTCTGGAGGAGAAACATTGCTGGTCGATATTGGGGGCCATCCTGAACAAGTTATTGTTGATCGACTTAAATCAGCTCATGGGGACCTGGATCAGCCGATGGTTCCGGCGGTGGCTCCTAGGAGAGGACATCCAGCTACCAACAAGGAGGAGGACTCCAGGGAGGAGACTGACCACCAAAGAGGTTCAACATGGTGCAGGTCACATGACCCGTCAGTGACGGCTCCTACCAGCCGACTGAAGATTGAGAAAACACATCCATCAGTGTGATCATGAAGAAACTGTAAATCTGGACACAGTTTTCAGTTCTGCAGTACATGTGTAGTAATTAGGATGCAGTATTAGTGTAGTTTTAAGGGTGTTGTCCTACTTCTCTGTAACTTGTGTTAAGTGTTTGTCACGGAATGACTCAGGAAAACAAAATAGCAGATCCAAGTGCAGCTTTAATTCAAAAAATAAAAAGTCAAAACAGAGCAAAAGGTAATCCAAAACACAGGGTAACAGAAACACAACGAAACGGGTACAATAGTGCAGCAACAAAAGACAAAGCAAGCAAGATATATATAGTGATTAGTTAATGGGTAAATGACCAGCAGCTGATGATAATCAGTAACGAAAAGAACCGGGCAAAGAACTATGGGAAATGGAGTTCATGACAAGTAACAGTGAAAGGGGAGAGTGCCATCAAGTGGCCAGTCCAGGGCACAACAACCAGACACTGTGACATTACCCCTCCTCTAAGGAGCGGATACCAGACGCTCCACCAGAAAGCACAAAAGTTCAGGAGGGAGGTGGAAAGGAGGCAGATCAGGGGGAGGGATGGCGGGCCAGGCCCGTGTAGCGGAAGAGGGCCTGGAGACAGAGGTAGACAAGGGTGCCAGGGCGGGGCCGGCAGGGCAGGAGGCAAGGATAAAGTGAACAAAGCCGGCAGGCTTGTCTAAGGGCTCCCGAACTGGAGCAGGCTCTGAAGTGGACTCTGAGGCGGCCCATGCACACAGAACAGCCCTGAGATGAAAGGCAAAGACGACCTTCTCGATTATGGCAGCAGCAGTGAAATTGGGCGGCTCTGTGGCGACATCTGAGACCACCAAAGTCAGGTCCTCCAGGACCACCGGACTTGAGACCACTGGAGTCGGGTCCTCCAGGACCACCGGGCTTAAGACCACCAAAGTCGGGTCCTCCAGGACCACCGGACTTCAGACCACCAGAGTCGGATCCTCCAGGACCACCGGACTTGAGACCACCAGAGTCGGGTCCTCCAGGACCACCAGACTTGAGACCACCGGAGTGGACTTAACTGCCCTCCTCCTTCTCACCCTCCGCTTCTCAGTGGGAGTCGGAAGGCCAGGGCTGGTGGGAAAATCCCTGTGGAAGGGTTCTAGTTGGCCTGGTTTAGCCCACTGACGTCGCCGACAAAGATACCTGACAAAGCCCCAAAAGTCCAGGATCCCAAGTCCTTCCATCTCCCAATGGGACAAGGGATCGTCCAGGCACGCATTAAAGAAATCCTTGAGCGCCCCATCATTGTATTCCATCCCCACTGCGAAGGTCCAGAAGGTCTGGGCAAAACCTCCTACCTCCATGCCCTGCTGATGCAAAGCCACGAGAGCCCGGTGTCGAGCCATTCACTCCTTCCTTGTGGCAGGAGGGGTAATCCGAAGATCCATAGTCCCAATCCAATAAACCCAGCCTAGCTGCTGGATCTTGATGGCTGCACAATTCTGTCATGGAATGACTCAGGAAAACAAAATAGCAGATCCAAGTGCAGCTTTAATTCAAAAAATAAAAAGTCAAAACTCAGCAAAAACGTGGCAAAAGGTAGAGGGCCTGGAGACAGAGGTAGACAAGGGTGCCAGGGCGGGGCCGGCAGGGCAGGAGGCAAGGATAAAGTGAACAAAGCCGGCAGGCTTGTCTAAGGGCTCCCGAACTGGAGCAGGCTCTGAAGTGGACTCTGAGGCGGCCCATGCACACAGAACAGCCCTGAGATGAAAGGCAAAGACGACCTTCTCGATTATGGCAGCAGCAGTGAAATTGGGCGGCTCTGTGGCGACATCTGAGACCACCAAAGTCAGGTCCTCCAGGACCACCGGACTTGAGACCACTGGAGTCGGGTCCTCCAGGACCACCGGGCTTAAGACCACCAAAGTCGGGTCCTCCAGGACCACCGGACTTCAGACCACCAGAGTCGGATCCTCCAGGACCACCGGACTTGAGACCACCAGAGTCGGGTCCTCCAGGACCACCAGACTTGAGACCACCGGAGTGGACTTAACTGCCCTCCTCCTTCTCACCCTCCGCTTCTCAGTGGGAGTCGGAAGGCCAGGGCTGGTGGGAAAATCCCTGTGGAAGGGTTCTAGTTGGCCTGGTTTAGCCCACTGACTTCGCCAACAAAGCCCTAAAAGTCCAGGATCCCAAGTCCTTACATCTCCCAATGGGACAAGGAATCATCCAGGCACGCATTAAAGAAATCCTTGAGTGCCCCATCATTGTATTCCAGCCCCACCGAGAAGGTCCAGAAGGTTTGGGCAAAACCTCCTACCTCCATGCCCTGTTGACGCAAAGCCATAAGAGCCCGGTGTCGAGCCATTCGCTCCTTCCTTGTGGCAGGGGGGGGAATCCGAAGGTCCATAGTCCCAATGAAGGGAAAAAAAACTTGATCTAGAACTGGCTGCAGTATTCTGTCACGGAATGCCAGGAGAAGACAAAATTAGATCCATGTGCAGTTTAATTAAATTCAAACAATAATCCAGAACAAAGCAAAAACGTGGCAAAAGGTAATAGAAAACACAGGGTAACAGAAAACACAACGTATGGGTGCAATACGGCAGCAACAAAAGGCAGAGTGAGCATGGTATAAATAGTGATGGGATAATGAATAAATGACCTACAGGTGATGATAATCAGAACTGAAAAGACTAGGCAAAGGACTATGGGAAATAGAGTTCATAGCATGTAACAGTGAAAGGGGAGAGCGCCATCAAGTGGCCAGTCCAGGGCACAACAACCAGACACTGTGACAGTGTTTGTGTGAGACTGACATCTAGTAGACATTTCATTACTAGGGCTCCCCATTCCCAGTCCAGGAGAGTCACTTTCCCACAGAGTTTAGTTTGATCTGTAATTAAACACACCTGAATCAACTAGTCAAGGTATTTGTGTTTACTTTAATAACAGCCAGATGTGTCGAAACTAAACTCCGGAATGAGGATCCTGTTTTACAGACTCAGACACACCTGTTTTACACGCGTCACTCAAACACAGAACCAGGAAACAGGAAACACATGAGTTCAGGGAAAGAGAAACTGAAGTGTAGCTGAGCTGTTGTGTGTTTGTGTCTCTGTATTCATGCAGTAAAATGGCAGAAGCCAGATTTTCTCAGGATGAGTTCTTGTGTCTGGTGTGTCTGGATCTCCTGAAGGATCCAGTGGCCATCCAGTGTGGACACAGTTACTGTAAGAGCTGTATTACAGACTGCTGGGATCAGGAGGATGAGAAGAGAGTCTACAGCTGCCCTCAGTGCAGACAGACCTTCAGTCCAAGACCTGCTTTATTTAAGAACGTGGTGTTTGCTGAAATGCTGGAGAAACTGAAGAAGACTAAACTTCAAAGTGTGGTTCCTGCTGGAGCTGGAGATGTTCAGTGTGACGTCTGTACTGGAAGAAAATACAGAGCCGTCAAGTCCTGTCTGGTGTGTCTGAACTCTTACTGTCAGAATCACCTCGAACAACATGAGAGTTGGTTTAAAGGAAAGAGACACAGTTTGATTGAAGCCACTGGACGACTGCAGGAGATGATCTGCCAGAAACATGAGAAGCTCCTTGAGGTTTTCTGTCACACTGATCAGAAATGTATATGTGTGCTGTGTACGGTTATTGAACATAAAAACCACGACATTGTATCAGCAGCAGATCAGAGGACAGAGAAACAGGTATTTAAAACTAGACACTGATGAAATATTGCTGACACACGTTTCATATGTGTATATATCAGCACCATATTAACAGCTTACAGCATTCACACTGCTCACCACAGCAGAAATGAACAGCAGCTGCACACAAACACTTCTGTTCAGTAAATCTGACTGAATCCAGATGATTTTAGCCATTTATAGCTTCACTTCAGTCATTTATTTTCTGTCTAGAGCTGCAGCTTAATTACGCAGAACACAGAAGTCAATGTGAAGCTCTACATCTGTCAGTTTCACTTTCATAATACTTACACTTATAGTGTGAAACAGGACTTAATCACACGATAATTCATGAAAGATGGTAGTAAATGATCAATCTTCCCTTCTACAGCCATTGATTATTAGTTCAGATAAGTAACCTTTAAACGGCCTCTCCCTACTTTTCCTGGATTCATCTGTTCACTTGATGATTTAGTGCCAGTAGTTTTCTGTGACGTTCACTATCATCTGTTTGTCCTGCAGAAGCAGCTGAAGGAGACGCAGAAGACGCTCCAGCAGAGAATCCAGCAGAGAGAGAAAGATCTTCAGCAGCTGAGAGAGGCTGTGGAGTCTCATAAGGTGAGTCTGGAGAAGAAGAGAAGTTTGTCTCCGTCTCAGTTCAGACTCACTGAAGCCTGAATCACTGTGTGTCCTAACAGCGCTCTGCACAGACAGCAGTGGAGGACAGTGAGAGGATCTTTACTGAGCTCATCCGCTCCATTGAGAGAAGCCGCTCTGAGCTGATACGGCTGATCAGAGATCAGGAGAAGACTGCAGTGAGTCGAGCTGAAGGACGACTGGAGCGACTGGAGCAGGAGATCAATGATCTGAGGAGGAGAGACGCTGAGCTGGAGCAGCTGGAGCACACACAGGATCACATCCAGTTCCTGCAGGTAACACAGATCTACAAGAACAGGCTCAGAGTGGACTTGAGCGAAAGTTATCAATAATGCTCAATCTAATCGTAGCCTTTGAGCTGCTTTTCCTGAGCAAATCTACTCAACTCTACAATGAGACTCCATTGATGTGCTTGAGCTATTAGATGGACATTTCTGTTCTTAGCAGATGTTTTATCATCCAAACGGTTTCCTAGAAAGTTCACATAGAGTGTCAAATACTAGAATCTGTAGCTCTAATGTGATATAATGAATATGAGAAGAATGAAGCTGATGCTGTGAAAGTGCTGGATTGAGATGTCTGTTGATTTCCACAGTCACATTCACCAACATTGTTCCCAGAACCAGGAACCACTTCCTACAATGTAAGTCAGTAAGAAAACCAGCAGAAAAAAAACTGAGTGTGTTCATGTTCTTCCTGTAGAAGCTGAAAGAAGAGTTTTATAATTGATGATGTAAATGATGATTTGCACAGATATCTGCTCATCTGTACTGAGACTCTGATGATATACACTGAACATGAAGAGTTCAGCTACATGAAAAGATCTAACAGATTCATAATTGCTGATTCTGATGTGTTTTATCTCCATCAGATTCCCGTCAGCTCTCTCTGGATCTGAACAAAGTGAATAAACACCTCCGTCTGTCTGAGAGCAACAGGGTGATTACTGCCACTAAAACTGTCCAGTCGTATCCTGATCATCCAGACAGATTTGATGGTTATTATCAGGTGTTGTGTAGAGAGAGTGTGTGTGGACGCTGTTACTGGGAGCTGCAGTGGAGTGGAGATAGAGGTGTGT